GAAAAACAGAGGGTCATTTCAACGCAGACTTTAGGGTACTTAAGCTCAGTATATCTGGCTAATTTTTTGCATGCTCCTAGGTCAATGGCTTGACCTTTAGGGAAAACTGTCGGTTACACTCAAAGCCCTCGACGAGGGCTAAAAAGTGACCGCGAGTGAAATTCTCTTTATGTGAGCTCTATGGGAAAAAACAGAGGGTAATTTCAAAACGGATTTTAGGGCACTTACCCTCTTTACATCTGGCTAATATTTTGTATACACCTTTATAGATGACTACGCCGTATGGAAAAACTGTTGGTCAGACTTAAAACCCTCTAAGAGGGCTAAAATTGACCGCGAGTGAAATTCTTATTATACAAGATTTGGTCATTTGGTCTATGAACAGGGGAGGTAACTTCTTAATGTAATAATTTTTAAACATTTTGTATACTCTTTTTAAGAAAAAAAAAACAAAAATCATAATGTATAGCATTGTTTTAAATAAATATTTTGTTATAAATTAAGTTTTGGATTGTACTGAAATTTTAAAAATTAATCACGAAAGTAATTTATTATAATATTTGATTGATACTATTAAGAAACCCCTTGCAGTTCTAATAACCGTGTGAGTAATAACTTTGCGAATATTCCATCAATATGTGGGTGACATGAAATTACCCCACTGTATAGATTTAGGCCCTAAGAATTTAACATAGCAGCCAATCACCTATTAATTAATCATTCAATTCCTCATTTTTTTTTTTGAAAACCTAAGCGAAGCTAGGCAGTATGCCTAGTGGTATATAAAGATACCGTGTGCTTGAATAATGCACTTAAATGTAGAAAATTAATTATTTTCTTTTAATATATAATAATACTCTACTATTTGAAAAAAATATAGAGAAATGCGTGCTCTCTTCCAAAATAATACAATGACCCGCGCTTTTCTTTATAGTCATTAAATTAGTAGAGTGTTATTATATATTGAAAGAAAAAAACTTATTTTCTGCTTTTTAATGCATAATTACATAAAAGCTGTTTATTAAACGTTTTTTTAATTTAATTTTGAAATTACAAATTGCAATCAGTACTAAAGAAACAAACACAATGATTTGCGGCTAAACTTGATGTTAATCTAGTACAGCAGAATACGACACAATTAGTTGTTGTTTTTTTAAGAAAATAAACGAAACAAATTGTATAAAAGAGCTAAAATAAATAAAATCAAAAGTTTTTTTTTTTTATTTACCTAAAGGTATTGGTAAAATTTGTGTGTTTTAAAATGGTCTCGAGATAAATTTTACACTGACCAACGGCCTACCTCTAATTAAACAAAATACAAACAACGTATGCATATGTTCAGTGCTACAATCAAAATCGATAATGTAGTTAAATCAAAACGTTGGCGTAATTGAGACAGGTAGTTTTGAATGTAAGTGTGTTGAATGACAGCTCTGGTGATTACAATATGCTTGTAGTAACAGGTCGATTGTTTTAAGATGAGGGTGTGTTTGTTGTTTAGACGTGATTCATAATTTCTCAAATGAATAGATAAACCGCCACTAGTACACATAAAATTACTAAAACTATCACAAAATTAAAGAAATCTGGAGAATTTTCTGAATGACTATTGGCTTGGCTCCGCAAAACAAAATCTATGAGTAGATTAAATTCAGAGTATGTTAACCCTTTATCTACTGACGGTACTTATAAGTACCACTTTAATTAAGTGCCTGTACTGTTTTTAATTTAAGACGAATTTTAAAAATTATTGATGTAATTGATAGTATTATCTCCCCCGAGTCACAGGTAGGTGGAGGGATCTATGTTTTTTGAAAATTTCTGGTATGGCGCCACTTTCAATCTCTACCTGTATCGGTAGTTCACAATCGTTCTGTACATATCTCACATGTGTTCCTGATTTCCCTTTGTTTTACCTTATTATTCAAGTTTTCAACACCGAATATTTTTTATTGGCATCCTTAATAGTCAGGTCAATGTATTTAGCTTCTAGTTTTACAATTTTTATCAAATTGTCTTTGTAATAGATCGATGTTTACAAGTGGACTTTTAAGTACCGTCAGGGCACACGGACATTTTTTTTAGGATTTCTTGAAAATTGCAGATTTTCGATTTGGAGTGACGTAAATATTATTTTGATAATTAATTATCGAAATGTATTTTAAAAAAATATATTTATGCATTTATAAGAAGGTTAGCATAGGATTTTCCTCAGAAATATTGTAAATAATTGCAGATTTCTAGTAGTATAAGAAAAACAAGAATAGAGGTGGCAGTTGCAGGCTCGTTTACTTGGTTTAGTATACGTTATTTGTATACCAAAGTCTAGTTCTAGAAGTAAGATTTGTAAGTTATATTTGTTGCAAAAACTTTCTTGCCTACAATAGCTAGCGTGTATGTAATGTATACATGTAGACTAGTAATAGTCCATACATATGCATGTAGTATAGATCGTTTTGTAATTTTTAATCAGTAAACACAAAACAGTAGACCACTACGGCTATTCCAAACACATTGAGCTCACTTCTGTTTATGAACTTTACAATGTAGTGTAGACTTGTCATAACATTTTAGTAGGCTACAATTATACTAGCTTTACAAGTAGTAGTGTACTGAATGACTAGGATTTCGTTTTCAAAATATTTGTTTATGCGGGTCATTGTAATGGCTATTGGAAGCCTCCAGCAAAAGCAGGTTCAGTCCGGCAACTGTTGCCACACCAGAAAGACGACAGAACAGAATGTATCAAGAATAAGGAATGAGGGAGCATGACACGTCGGCACCTTTTGCTGTGTTTGAGGTCTAAGATATGTTCCGATAGAAAATCAAGTAAAAATCGTTCTCAAAATATACTTTTGTGCTGGATTTATGTGTGAAAATTACAAAAAATGATATTATAATGATTGCCATATTATTAGTTAATACGTTGTATCGTTTTTTCCTGTTTTGTAAATTTTTTAATTTTTGGAAAAAATGTCCTACATTCCTGACGGTACTTATAAGTACCAATATATGTTTGGGCCCTTAAAAATTTATGAAACAAAATTTCCTTCGACATATGCTTTAAATGTGCCATAAGCAATATGATAACACATTGTTTAAGATAAAATGTCATTCGGAACCTAATTCCGTAAATAAAGGGTTAAAGGTTTTCTTCCTGTTGTTTCATCGGATTCATCACCGGAGCGTGATTCTGATAAATTTGAAATTGATGTGGAGCCTGGAATAATTGAATCTGATTTTGTTGGACCCAATTTTGTGGGACCAAATTTTGTTGGACCAAATTTTGTGGGACCAAATCTTCTGGGACCAAATCTTGTGGCAGCGATCTTGTTGACAATAGTCATGGCTTGTACATTTTCCATAACAAATTTATTCTTCATAAGTTTGGCTAGGCACTCGTTGCTTGTTCTCTGGAGAGAAATTAATGCAAGTAATTGACCAATGTATGATCTTCGAAGCGGTAAATCCCCCCGTTCGTCAGTTGTAGAGTTCACCTTTCTACATTTTAATTTTAGTGAACCAGTTACTGTCTCTGGCGAGTGAATCATGCTGGAACATTTCTTCGGCTCGTCTGTGAGATAGACGTCATCTGAACATGTCCATTTTAAAACAGATTGCACGAAAAAATCGGTTCTATGATTCTGGTATCTACAGTGATTTAAAATGTATTTAAAATCGTCAAAAGAGAGTTGAACGAAGGCGTTTGATTCTAAAATCTTCCGAAAATTCTTAACCATAAACCTTCTAACTCTAGTTATAACATCTAAAGAGTCCAACAGCTGAGCAGTTATAAGTATATCACTGTAGTTTTGTAAATTTACTCTCTCTTGGACAAAGTTTTCACATAATGCAACTAAAAATGTGATCTGCAGTTGGTTTGAAGCATGCCATATGGCAAGGATATTATCGTCATTTAGAACATTTCTCCCTTCATAGATGAAATCCAGTATGAGTCCAAATATTTCTGGTGAGATGCCTTCTATGGTACAGCTTGATTCAGATTTTTCTCTCATATCTGTCCTCATGAGAGCCTCAAAGAAACCAGAGCAGGAACTTAGGAAAATCCGGTGACAGTTGAACTGAAAGTCGCCGATGTTGACCGTAAAATCAGTAAAATTGTCCTTATTGCCTCGCAAACACGTGAAAACTTCTCTAACTACGTGAAAGTCAAGGTCGCTATGTACAGAACTTCGTTTTGAATTAAACATGGCGGCTGTAGATGTTAGAATTCTGAAAACAAAAAAAACTATATATAGGAAACAATTAGACACTATCACGCCGAGATTTTTGACAGCTAGATTTTTATATATATATATATATATATATATATATATATATATATATATATATATATATATATATATATATATATATATATATATATATATATATATATATATATGATATATTCATTGTTAGTAGATAAAACGGTATCCATCATGGAGCAAAAACGATCATACCAATCCATGTTTTCGCAGGGATTTCTATAAAGGAAGCAAATTAAAATTGCCGGATGGTGTTTGCTTTTTTCCAGTTCAATCCATATACATTCTATATTGTCCGTTGACAGATCCTTCCTGAACTTGAAACGAATAGAGGAGTGGACATAGAGACAAAGGCCAGTTTCTTTGTGTAAGGATGGGTCTCGGCGTATTAGGTTATAATCAGAGACGGATATCCCAACATCATTTATAAAAGATTGTAATCGAGTTTCAGAGAAACCAAAAATATGGAAAGGATTGTTGGAATTGTTTAAAATTTTTATAACTTCATGGTGTTTATTAAATATGTGGAAAATATTTAAATGGCCCAATTTTAGCCCACTTTGTGAGGGCCAGGATGATGAAAATAGACAATGCATAAAGATAATAAAATATCAATGAATACAAATATAAAAATTGTAAGTCCATGCTTAACGACACACATTTTTACTCAAATTCTATTAACAAAATGATTTATTTATTTCTGGGAAAAATTATACTATTTTATACCTGTACCTTCTTTATACAAAGTTCAAAAACAAGTTAAATTAAGTATACAGTTGACATTAGTTTTTAGTTTGCCGCCATTGATAACAAAAAAGGGCGCGTTCAACTGTGATTGCACTAAAACAAAGAACGCTGAATAGGAAATCCCCGATGATAGAGAATTATTAGATTAAGACCTTATTATTAAAACACAGCTCAAAGTGTGTAGAACGTAGAATACGTGCTCACATTGTCGTGTATACAAACGGGTCTACAATGACTCAATGACAACATTTTTTGCTAACTTGGTACAATTTATTTACTGTATGGTAAGCAAAATGCGACGGCGTGGATCAGCGGTTGTGACCTGAATCACAAATCAACCTTCAAACCTGATTTATTGATAACATTTGCATTTTAAAACACTAAGATAGAACCACACTTACACAGATGGATAAATCCTACACATCTTTCTTAAGGACAATCGTGTAACAGTAGGTGGCATTTGTTTGGGAACCACTGCTATATAGGGTTTAGTCAAACACTACTGCTCTATAGATTGGAGTCAAACACTACTGCTCTATAGATTGGAGTCAAACACTACTGCTCAATATAGTGGAGTCAAACACTACTGCTCAATAGAGTGGAGTCAAACACTACTGCTCTATATGGTGAAGTCAAACACTACTGCTCTATAGAGTGGAGTCAAACTCTACTGCTCTATAGGATTTATTCAAACACTACTGCTCTATAGAGTGAAGTCAAACACTACTGCTCTATAGAGTGGAGTCAAACACTACTGCTCTATAGATTGGAGTCAAACACTACTGCCCTATAGGATTTATTCAAACACTACTGCTTATAGAGTGAAGTAAAACTATACTGCTCTATAAGGTTTACTTAAACACTACTGCTCTATAGAGTGGTCAAACTACTGCTCTGTAGGTTTTACTCAAACTATACTGCTTTTTAAGGGTTTACTCAAACTGTACTTCTCAATAGGGTTTACTCAAACTATACTGCTCTATAGAGGGGAGTCAAACACTACTGCTCTGTAGGGTTTACTCAAACTATACTGCTCTATAGGGTTTACTCAAACTATACATTATCCTTTCATAAGCTGAGCTTCAGATAAACACTATCATCTCTCCCGTGAGTCTTGGGCACGAACTGGAAAAGATGATGATAGTACTTAAAACTAAATGTAGGAGAATAAGAATAAAAAAAAAAACAAGTTCCTTCGGTCCCCACAAAAGAATTAAACTTCACAGTTGCAATGCAGGAACCCGTAAAACTAGAACAATAGACACGTAATAGTTCACTGATAGTACAAGACACTGCCCATCTCTATACTTGTGGTAGTGAACGACGAATCGTCGTAAGGTCGAAACACTATAGCTTTATGTGGTTGAGTATAACAAAACACTCTTAAGTTCTGAGGTTGTTTTTTTTTTTTTAAATGAACATTTTAAAACAGAAACCCAAATATCCAATCCTCAAACATAGCAAAATGTTTATCCAAGAAGAGGGTAATAATTCTAAATTTAACTTTCCTAAATAACTTGAGGCGTAGACACATTTTTCCGTTGAAATATTATTTAGATGTCTCGAGCTTTTTGGATCAATATTGTAGACTAAGATTTAGTAGACTAAGATGTGTTGTGTGCTGTATATACCTACTGCTGTTACTTTATTGGTAAATGTATGTGACCCTTACGTATCCGTCGCTAGGAATTCGTCAGCCTGACAGAATAATTTGTGGCGTTGCAAATTGTAATTTCATGAGGCCTAAAAAAAATCTTCAGTTGCTTATTACGAACACGTTTTGAAGTTTTAAGAATTAAATTAGGAAAATGCCTTGTTTTACTTTCTCGAATATACGAAGAATAGAGAAAGTCCTGTAATCGTGCAAAAGAAAATCATGATTTTTACAAATCTCGACGTTTTACACCTCAGTGATACGGAAAAACATAATTTTGCAATCTTGTCCGTATGCCTCTGTGTGTGTATGTGTGTCTCTCTCTCTCTGTGTGTGTGTGTGTGTGTGTGTGTGTGTGTCTGTAAACACGATAACTTGAGTACCGTTACAGCTAGGTTGAGGAAATATCATATATAAGTATTTTATCAAAGTCGTATATCAGTTTCAACTTTATAGCGATTTCCGATAACCGGATATATATATATATATATATATATATATATATATATATATATATATATATATATATATATATATATATATATATATATATATATATATATATATATATATGTATATATATATATATAGCCTATTTATAAAATATATCATGTCCAGTTGGTGGTGCTTATTCTACTTCCGGTTTTTAACCACATACTTATAAAGTGCAGCCTGTTTTTTCTTAAATCTATATTTCCATTGGTCAATGCAACTGTGTAATCCTAATTTACTTTTATATATGTATGTGCGAGAAAATTTAGGAGAGATCACGCGCGCTTTGTTTTACATCTACAGATGTATGTGCGTTTGTTGTAGATGTTTTGACACAACGTGCATGTAAAGTCTATGTAATAATATTAATTTTTTTAAACATATTTATAAAAATATGGCAAGCGATAAGATTATAGTTACATTTGTAAAAATTAAAGCCGTATTAATAAGACAGTTAATATTTATTCGTGTGTATCAATGGGTTCTTAAGGGAAAATATTTGGAACAGAAATGATCACACAGTAAATTGATAGAGGAAACAGCCCTTGGTATCTTAATATGAAAAATATATAAAAATTGTGTTTTTCATCCCTAGACGCAAGCAAAACATATTTAAATGTTGCTGAAAAATAATGGCTACAAAAGTCCAACTGTTTTGGTTGCTGCCAAAACAAAAATTAAAATAAATTTTAAAAAATAAACAAAAATTTTTACAATCCACAAAATTAAACCAGAAAAGTACTTTCTTTCAGAAGTTTTCAACAAAACAAAATCTCTTAATTTCCAAAAAAAGAAAATACTCTAAGTACGATTGGGAAATAACATTCAAAAAACATAACCAATCATCAAGGAGCAATACCTCAGTTACAGGAAATAAAACAGTCATTTAAGATAAGGCTTTGTTTAGCTCGAAATCAACGGGATCTTGTTTATTATGCGCTAATGTATCGTTTAGACAATCACACTCTATAATTTTAAAACTACAAGTCGAAATAATAATAATTAACAGTCCAAGTCATGCTTTTGCATTATTAAATTTACCAGACAACCTTGTTTTTCTAAAAGCCGGTGTTAGTTAATAAAATAATTTTCTTTGGATTTAATGCATGTATAAATTGAACGCATTTATTTCATATACATTTGTTAAATTTTTTGCGGCATTGACCTACATGGATTGAAATATATTTGGTGAAAATAAATTTACATTCATTTTTCGGCTGGATAAAATTAAAATTTTTATTTCTTGTATAACTTTATAGCATTCTAAATGAAAAAGGCAAAGAACAATAAAAACGTGTAATATGTTTATGCAATGTTGCTTACTGAATCCAGAATGTTTTATTAAGTCATCACAAAGCACACTCTTCAATAAAATTTTAATTTTTTTTACTACGGACTAAAAAACAATATGTATATGGCTAATATAGAAATCGAAAAAGAAATATATTTATATATATATATATATATATATATATATATATATATATATATATATATATATATATATATATATATATATATATATATATATATATTATATCACATTATTGTTTCTCTCCAAAGCTAGGATACATGAAACGTTATCTGATGGTCTCTACAAACATATTTGAGATATAAAGTCTCATAATAATACACATTTTTACAGTGTGAATGTTTGATGTCATGATTTTCATTTACTCAAGCATAGATTAGATGAGGTATATAACACATGAATTTGCTCATTTCTACGTCAATCAAGTTTGCTTTATATCTATCAATTATCTAATTTCAGAATTTTACATAAGGTTTTATATTTTTGAAAATTATAAACAAACAAAAATTAAAGTATTCATTGACACAGTATTTATATTGTTAGAAAGTCGATAATTTACGGGTGTAAATAATATGTTTTAACACTTCAGCTTTTAGACAATCTTGTATAAAGCATTTAATGAAATAAAATAAATAACCACAACGCATAGAGCTGAAATGTGTTGAAATTAAACATATAATTTCTGCATGCACATTTACTTCGTGTGTCCAGGTAAAGAACGAAGGACAGCATGACAATCATTATTAATTGTGTTAATTGTTTATGTGGCGGTAGTTCTAAGCGGAGCCATTTATCAACACTCACAAGTGACGGAATCAGACTTTACCAAGCCTGTATATACATAATCAAGCATTGAAAATCTATATATTAAACCATCAAGATTTTTTTCAATCAATTAAAGCATTTTATCCAATCGAATGATTTTTAAGTAGAATGAAGTCTAATTCAAAACTTTGGTGAGGCAAAGAAATTTTGTTGGCCCTTGTTGATGTTTGCTACAGTATCGAGGCATTCAATATTAAAAAAAGAATAATACAATGTACTAGATACTTAGTACTAGGGTTACTTTTTTGTTAACAACCTGAGAATAACAAAAGGGTAAACAAGAAGGCTGCGAGTAAAAGAATTAAAAATTTTTGAAACTTAAGGGGAATGTCAAAATAGGGCGAAACACGATTCACCGGGTTTTCATTGTTCGCAGAAACTTTCCTCGGCGGTGTGGGAGGTGTCTTGATGGCAGTGGCTGTTCTGTAATTTTTAAACAGAGCTGGTTTTGTGAGTTCCAGCCTGGACGCGGCATGTTTATTCACCAGTGTGATGGCTTCTTTATTGTCTATTACAAATGTGTTGTTCAAAAGCTTGGACAGGCACGCGGTGCTGATGTCTTTGAGAGAAATTGCTGAAAACAGCTGACCAAGGTACAACCTACGAAGTGACATTTTCTCACCTTCTTCAGTTTCAACTTCCATCTTCTTACAAAGTGCATTATGAAGTCCAGTATCCACACGCAATATACTGATAAATTTTTCTGGCTCAGGTTGGAGGTACGAGTCATCTGAATACGCCCATTTTAAAACTGAATTAACGACGAAATCTCCGACAATACGAAAGTGTTTTAAAAGGTCTTTGAACTCTTCGAAAGGAATTTCCATGAAGTCGTCGGATCCTACAACATTTGGATAGTTGTTCACGATGAACTTTTTTACTTTGGTTAATACACCAAACGAATTTAAAAGCTTTCCTGCTTCATAAATGCTCCAGTAGTTTTGCAACGTTATGTTTTCATTTACGAATTTCTGACAAGCCGAAACTAAAAATTCGATCTGCAGTTGATTGGATGCATGCCACATTTCAACCATGTTTTTTTCGTCTAAAACATCAGTTCCTTTGTAAATAACATCTAGTATAAGACCAAATATTTCTGGAGAGATGCCTTCTATGGTACAGCTTGATTCATATTTTTCTCTCATATCTGTCCTCATGAGAGCCTCAAAGAAACCAGAGCAGGAACTTAAGACAAACCTGTGACAACTAAACTGGAAGTCGCCAACGTTGACTGTAAAGTCAGTAAATTTGTCCATGTTTTTTTCAAAACATTTAAAGATTTCTTTTCCCATTTGCGCGTCGTAATTGTGAGCGGTGGATATACTTTTATACATGGCGGTTGTAGATGATGTTTTACTTTTTCTGCAAAAATTTTAAATTTTTAAATTTAAAGTTTTAAATTTTCATTTTGGTCTCCTCTTACGTCATTGGCACAAACGTAAAAATTTTACAACAACATTAAAACATAATTTCTGTAAGAATATATATATATATATATATATATATATATATATATATATATATATATATACTGGAAATATGGATCATAAATTGGAGAACCTGTAAATTCGAAATCAAAACCTGGACTTAAATGGACTTTGTATGTCTGTTATCAAGGCAGAATTAAAATTATAGAAATAGATTTGGTAACTAAAACAAAATGATTGAAAAAACAATCAGGTTTATTTTCGTCCCAGCGCAATAATTTAAAAAACTGGCCTTAACTAGGTAATGTATGAATTTTGTATAAGAAATAAATATTTACAAATAAAAACGTTGGGCCAATATAACGTTGAAAGGAGATCCTTGGTAAGAAAAAGTTAATCAAAGTTTGCCTTACATATGTCATTCGTTGAGTAAAATATGTGTATTTCTGTAAGTTAATTAAAGCTAACACATTCTTAAGATTTTAGATTTGCAAGTTTATCAAAATTAATATTTAAAATGGCAAATTATTATTTCTTATTTATTCTGTTTAAATTTAAATTATTTATAAATTGGAGATCTAGATCTAGATCTAGATTTATGGCTAATCAGAAAAATTTATATTCTTTACGTCTAGGTCTAAATTATTAAGCCGTCTTGAGATTGGTCATCGTATTGTAAAAGTCATGTTTTATTATGTAAGCTGAAAAATACTCACAGTTTAATTTGTTTTTTAGCAACAATTACTTAAACAATGCTGAATAGTTACAAAAATTGTATAGGACAGTATAGGTTTATCTAACTTATTTCTAACTAGCCAGACATAAAACAAACATTTTCATTTCCGATTGCACCAAATTTTAATGTGCGGCGCCGGGAATACTCGAATATTTTGCATACTATTATTTTAATAATTAATTTAAAAAAAACATCGTGTCAAGCATTGTTATTTTATTCTACTTTATTGTATGCGAAGTATAGATAATGTATTTGAAACGAATAAAAACATCGAAATCAAATTGTCTAAAAACTCTAGGGGCTGCACACCTGAGTCTTAGAAATGTAGTGTGTCGTTTTTACATCTTTCTGTAATTATACATTTGAAAAAAAAAAACTTGACGGCCTATTTGTTAAGGTTAATGAAATGCCGTATATATATATATATATATATATATATATATATATATATATATATATATATATATATATATATATATATATTTACTTATTAATTAATTAATTAATTAATTTATTTATTTAATTATTTATTTATTTATGTATTTATTTATTTATTTACACTTATATATATATATATATATATATATATATATATATATATATATATATATATATATATATATATATATATATATATATATATATATATATATATATATATATATATATATATATATATATATATATATATATACATACATATATATATATATATATATATATATATATATATATATATACATACATATATATATATATATATATATATATATATATATATATATACATATATATATATATATATATACATTTATATATATATACATTTATATATATATATATATATATATATATATATATATATATATATATATATATATATATATATATATATATATATATATATATATATATATATATCTATATATAGGTGCATATATATGCATATATATATATATATATATATATATATATATATATATATATATATATATATATATATAGGTGCATATATATGTATATATATATATATATATATATATATATATATATATATATATATATATATATATAGGTGCATATATATATATATATATATAGGTGCATATATATATATATATATATATATATATATATATATATATATATATATATATATATATATATGTATGTATATATTGTGACTTGTTTGTGATACTTACTCTACCTCCGGTTTTACACCACTTTTTTCATAAAGTGTAGCCTATGTTACTTCTAGAATCTATATTTCTATCTATCCATGCTACTGGAAATGTCATTCAAAATCTACTGTTACATAAGAATGTACGAGAAAGTTCAAGGGGAGTTTACTCCCGTTTTCTTTAACTCTCACCTATGTTTTGTGTTTGTAGTAGATGTTCTGACACAATTGTCCTAAACTTTCTAGTTTCCCATGATATCACAGAAACACTATTTATATTTATTAAACTAATTATATATTCAATGAATCATAAATATAAAAACAAATACACTGAATTTAAAAAAAACGATAGTGTTACCTTGGAATAGCATGGTTGGATGTTTGAGCTTGTGACTTCTAACTCTAATTATTTGAGTTTGTATTCCGGGCTTAAGTCCTCAGATTTTCAAGTTCCAATCAGTACTTCATTCGCGTTAGGCAAAGTAAAGGAGATGGGTAATAGTGCTAAACGATTTATCTCTTTAAATGCCGGTGTAAACGAAGCGCGGAAACTCTACTTCCGCTGTCCGGCAGAACGTCCAGTTTGAAAGAGTAACTTTACGTTTTACAATACTAGTGTTACAATAATGCATACTACCACTTGCGGAACTAGAAACACCTCCCCCCCCCCCAAGCACACACACACACCTCTTCTCCTGAAGGAAACACGACGACGAATACAATCAGTACAACTACACAAAAACATTCTCTCCTTTTGTAAATGGTAAATATGCATATAATGCCCTCAAGGCTGCTAAACCGAAAAGTCTCGAGTTCGAACCCTCGGGCAGATGAGGCTTGTTAGCTGGGGACAGCCACTCTTCTAGGAGAGACAACTCCAAAATCAAACAACTGCTGCCTTGTCGTTTGTTCTTGGTTGGACAAAGGCTATGGAAGCAAATCCAAAAAGAAAAGCAGGCTGAAATCGCAGTCAATGGCCTCAATGGCCTCAGTTGACATGTATCCTTAAGTGTGTTAGAGGGGGATCCCTTCAAACACTAAAATTAAGAACGAAGAAGAAGAAGAAGCCCTTTGGACAATGTTCACATTTTCAAAATAAGAAATACTATTAGCATTAGAGTTGTTGGCTTATAAGTACTATATATCATTTCAAACTTTCATAAAATAAATTAAAGTATCAAAAACTATTTTCCTTAAATCTTTATTATGATGATCACATTGTTTTCTGCAAATTATCATTTAATTAGTAAAATAACATACTTATAAAAACATTATACAAATTTTGGACCAAGATTGCAAAGTCACAACATACATGTTTTCGTTGATCATCCTGCTAGACATAGACGTACTTTTCAGTGCCAAGTTATATCCGATGTTCTCTGATCCATGCAAGCATAGTCTATGAGATAGGTCAGTCAAAATGTTCTCATTTCTTTGTTTAAAAGTGAACAGTTTGTTCTTTAAATGTGTTCACTTTCTGGTTAAAATGTGTTTACTTCTTGATTCAACATCGTGTACTAAAATTATGTGTTATCCTATATTGCACAATTCATTTTTTTGTTATTGTTTACATCACTGCTAGTATAATCATAAACCAAAGACATTGTTTGCGACTAAACGTGATTGCTATGCTTAAATGGCAGCTTATTACACAGTTCTATGTATACATATAAACGAAACTGTATTAAAATGAGCAGCTGAATCAAGTAGGCCTAATACAATCAAAATGGGTTGTTTTTCCGGCAGCGTAAATGCATCAGTCATGCGTATACTTAAAAAAGGAACTAAAGTCAAATTTACAACGAATCAATCTAGCTATGATTGAACAAATAACTCCAAACATGCTATGTTAAATGAAACATTGACAATCCATAGTAAGGTTTTTTAAAATGGGAAAAAATGTCTTAATATGTTGTCACCGATCTTTAGGGCTAAAGAGGCTGGTGTTTCAATATGCAGTAATAGGAAGATGTGGGTAATAACAATGGATAGTTTTAGGTAACGGGGATGTTTCTGTTGTGGTCGTTGTTGTTGTTTGGGCCGTTCTGGTGTTGTGCTTGTTATGGTTGTTGTGGTTGTTGTGGTTGTGGTTGTTATGGTTGTTATGTTTGTTGTAGTTGGGGTGATTGTAGGTGTTACTGTGGCTGTTGTGGTTGTTGTGGTTACTGTGGTTCTTGTAATTATTGCGGTTTTTTTTGGATTTTATGGTTATTGTTGTCGTTGTAGTTGTAGTTTTTGTGGTTGTTGTGGTTGTTGTTGGTGTTGTGGTTGTTGTGGTTGTTGTGAATGTTGTGAATATTGTGGTTGTAAGGCAGACAGACATACCATTAATTGCATTGTCGGTAGGTTACAGTAATAGTCACCTTTAAAATTAAATTAATAACTAAAAAAGCGATCATAAGACCAAGTAAAAAACAATAATTCCAATCCACTGAAAGTAAGTCTGCCGACTGATTTTACAAGTTTGACTGCAGTTTGATAATGTCCATCAACTGATTTCGGTTGATCTTTTTTTATTTCGCTAGAACTAAAAGCAGAGTAAGGTAGAATTTCGGGGGAAAAAAGAAATGTATCCTCAGATCTTGATGAGTGCAAATATAATTTCGGATTTAAAAACATTTTGTTTCTCTTGATTAATGTGTCAAAATTATATTCGTTTGTTTCTGTGTCACTAAATCTTGCAGCAGCAAGCTTATTTACTAGAGACTGCTCTTCTGTCATGTCATTTGTCGTATATGAAAATTTAAGTAGTAGTTGTGTGATATAATCCAAATCATCATCATAACTTGCTTGTGGCTAAAACAAATTCGAGTTCACGCCTTTAACACGCATTTCGTTCAGTTTTAACATTCTTTCTAGAGTAAATCTTGAAGCGACGATCTTGTTTACACGAGTTATGGCATATACATTCGCCAAGACAAATTTGTTGTTCATAAGTTTGTTCAAACATTCGTTGCTTGCTCTCTCAAGAGGAGCTAATGCAAATAAAGGTGCAAGGTATGACCTTCGACGTGCTTCCATAAACTTGTCACTTTTCGAAATGTTTCCTTTTCTACAAATTGACTTTAGCTGGCAATTATCTGACTCAGTGTTTGGTGCTGTGATAAAATATTTTGGCTCATGTAGAAGGTAAAAATCATCTGCATATGCCCATTTTAAAACTGACTCTACGATAATATCGGCTGAAATGGACCAATTGTAATTTAAAATGTATGTCAAATCGTCATAAGAAAGTTGCATGAAGTCGTTTGATTCAACAATTTTCTCAAAATTGTTCACCATAAACTCTTTTACTTTAGCTATGACGTCAATAGAATCCAGCAGCTTGGCATCGGTAAATATTTCCCAGTAGTTTTGTAAATTTACTCTCTCCTTCACGAACTTTTGACATAATGAAACTAAAAATTTGATCTGCAGTTGGTTTGATGCATGCCACATGTCAAGCATGTTTACGATGTCTAAAACATCCTTCCCTTTATAAAAAACATCGAGTATCAGACCAAATATTTCTGGTGAGATGCCCTCTATGGTACAGCTTGATTCAGATTTTTCTCTCATATCTGTCCTCATGAGAGCTTCAAAGAAACCAGAGCAGGAACTTAAGACAAACTTGTGACAGTTGAACTTGGTGTCGCCAACGTTGACTGTAAAGTCTGTGTAGTTCTCCTTGTTTTTATCAAAACATCTGCAGACTTCCTCAGCTACGTGCAAATCATCATCTTTGTGATAGGCAGCTACAGAAAAACGTTCGGAAAGAAACATGGTAGCTATGGATGTTGGTTTTCTGAGGAAAAAAATGAGAAATTTAAAAATATTTAAGATATCTCATGCGAAACAAAATGTTTTATTTAAAAAAAAGCAAATTAGTTTTTCTTTCTTATTTCTAGTGCATTTAAAATCTTTTTATAAATTGTATATATTTGTTTTTTTTATATATAAGGTCGCGATACTACTTTATTAAGATTGTGCATTTGTGGTAACTCGCGTTTATTAGACGTTTGGTACTCTCTAATATGAGTGATACAAACAGTTTAGTCGTAGACCTGAAAACCATTTGATTTTATCTTCTCTTTGAGGAAGGATAGTATTTTATAGTTAAGCTACACATTATATATACAAAGCGAAGATGAAAATGGAGACCACTGACTGACTGAGATCAATTTCTCCGATGCCATATTGTTGATATTTATACCCAAAAAAATATGTTTTTGTTAATTTTTTCTTCATAACAGCAGATTTTTTTTCTTAAACTTAACCCTGGAAAGAATAAAAAATGTAATATGTTAATAATTAATACAAGAAACGTTGCAAATTATGAAAAGAATTGAAACGTTTGGGAATATGTTTCTATTGCAAACTAGGCCAATTTTTTAAAAAATTAAATTAATTACTTCCCAGTCAATGTGTTATTAAGAATAACGTCTGCTACTGCTAATATTAATACCATAAAAAATTTCACTGTGCAAGTGCAGTATTTCCTTGTGATTTAAATGCATGATAGCTTATTTTAGCAGCAGGGTTAGTTTGTTTATGTCTTCACTACTATGTGAAAGTCCAAGTTACTTTTGCCTTTTTAAATTTTCTTTATCTACGAAAAATAGTTTTAAAAATGCATAATTTGTCAAATCTGGAGTAAAATCCGAGAAAAACAAACAATTACAATTATAGGACCACATTTTATGTGATAACATTTAACATCGTATGCAGTTTTTTAAAAATTTAACTCAACGTTCGAGACTTTTCACCTAAATAAGTAGATCTAGACTCGATCTAGAATCTAGATCTATATCTAGATCTAAAACTTCTAAATTCACACTAAGCGACACGTGATTTTTTAATCAAACCCTACTTATTAATTTACAAAATGGTTTATTCGTTTTTGTGCGCATTTGTAATATCTTATAAATTTACCTCTTTTAAACAAAGTTCAGAAAACAAATAAACTCAAGTATATAGATGACATTCATTGTTAATCTTCAGCGACAACAACAACATGTTCAACTACAGTTGCACCAAAACTCAAAGAACGCTGTATTGGGAATCCCCGAAGTAATGTTATTATTAGATTACGACATCATTTAAAGCACAGCTCAAGGTGTTTAGAACGCACATACTAACATAGTCGTGTGTAAGAAACAGATCGTCAATGACTAAACGGCAAAATTTTTTGCTAAATGGTTACAATTTATTTACAGTATGGATCGAAAATTGGGATGGCGGTAGAGAGCTAGAGTGCAAACGCGGAAGTCGCGAGTTCGAATCCAGGTTTAAGTCATTAAGATGTCTTGAGTCCACCTAGTTCTGATGGGTACCTAACTCACGTTAGGGTAAGTAAAGGCGGCTGGGCATAGTGCTGACCACACAATCTCTTCATATGCCGAGGTCACAGAAACAGATGAACTCGACTTCATCTGCCCCATGGGCACGAACGGGAAAAGATGATGGTGATAGACTAATATATATTATGGGAATATTAACTTGCGGGTCTCGTGTAGGCAATCAAATTCCACAGAGGAACGATGGATTTTAAATTGTCTAATCCGTTAACAAAACGCAAACTTTTGATTTTCCAATAACTGATTTATTCTTAGAATTCCATTTCCTTGTGATTTATACGATGTCTTTGAACTATGCACATTACGCTTCTAAAGGCTATACTATCAAACGAGATAATTCTCAGTGGAGTGATTAATAAATTCAATAATCCTGTGTCATATTTTAAAGAGAAGTGAGTATACAATGTTCTGAATGAAATTGTATGACTTTTGAATTCACTAAATTTTATGGTATTAGTAATAATTTAGATTTTTTTTTATTTAAACAAACCGAAACAATATTCAGCTCTCGGCACGATTATGTAATACAAACTAAACATACTAGCCATAACCAGGTCATATTAAAATTTAAGAGAAGAAAAATAATATTTACAAAAAGATACGATGATAAAAAATACGCAAAAAAAAGGTTTCTGAGTAATAAATAGCCAACCATAGTTTGTCTTATGTAAATATGTGTACATGTAAGTAGAAATGTCTACTAAAAAAATAATCAACTTCATTAACTTTTCTAATTTGTCAACAATCGTTTTTAAAATATCACTTTGTTATTTCTTATTGATTGAGGTGTAGTTAATTTATTTATAAATTTCATGACAATCAGAAAAATCTACTTGTACAAACCACTTTGTAATTTTTGTTTGTATTATAAAGATCTATACATTGATAATTATTTCAACCATCTTGCGATTTTTAATTATATTTTACGAGTCACTGTTTGTTATTTATAATAAAAAGCACACTCATTATACTTAGTTGTATTATCAACACTTACTTAAATAACGCTTAATAATTAAAATAATTGAAATTGATCAGTTAATTTCAATTTTGTCTTATGTCGCCATTGATAAAAACAAACACGCTCATTTCCGATTGCACCAAATTTTAATGAGATTTTAAAAATATATTCATACACCATTCGAAACTCTTCTAAAACTTATAGAGATAAAACGAGACTAATAAGCCCTATTAAAAAAAATTAAAATGTTGCACGTGTTTTACATTCAAGGACAGTGACTGATAAAAAGCGCCCCGACCTTTCAAAATGAGAGAGGTGGGGGCGCATTTGCACCAACGCGAATTAAAATATATATGGATAATTGGGGTAAAATTGATAATTTACCCTGTGCGCCGAATTAGATAACTACAATTTTGTCTATATAATAATATAATCAAAGTTATGAATTAATAGGTACTTTTAGTAAAGGCGATTAAAAATGTGTGAGCACCCCTATGGATAGCGCCCTAGGTGACCGCCTTGTTCACCTAATCGGTAGCGCGCTGCAAACTTCTATAATTCTGTCGCCCCTATTGAACTGAAAGTGCCGCCCCAACCCACAGTGTTACTTAAGAAGTATGAAAAAGTTTAGGGGAGATCACTCCCGCTTTATTTACATTTTACCGAAGTAACAACGCTAGTCAGTGGGTTTGATGATAACACACAGAAACAATTTTATAATTTTTGTTATCTAATTGGGTATCTATTTAACCATTAATATTAAACGACTATAATGATAAAATGATAAAATGCATGTAAGAAATTGTTAATAGGAAACGGCGTGGTCGGACTCTAGAGCGTACAAATGTTGACCAAAATGTCTTGTTCGTATTCTGGGTTGAATTCCTAGGGACATCCTGCTCTGATCGGTACACAATTCACGTTAGGGGAAAGGAAAAAGCGATCGGGCATGATGCTAAACATGTTATTTCTTTTTATGCCGATGTTTCAGAAAACATAAACTCTACTTCAACTGCTGTGCGGACTGTCATGTTCGAAACTTTGTATTCTGATTTGACTACTTTTTAAAATAGATAGCAAGTGCTTAACTATCGCAGATTTCAAGCTAACGATACATTTTAAACGAAAAACCAAGTTTTACTCCAAACGTCAGTAATCTAAGAAGGAAATATAAAATAAGAAAAATATTCTGATTAATTATTTAAATTGACTTGTTAATGATTTTATACATTATAAATGTACGTGCCTTGTTTGTTCATGATTCACTGCTAGAAAATGATTTCCTCGAATTTTAATTCCGGCTTATGAATTTTGTTTAAAACTTCATAAGTTTTTAGAAATATAACTAATACAGTGATGAGATTTTTGTGTCAATAATAACTTTTTATTTATAATCTATGATTCAGTGTTGTATTATGTATTATGTGATCTGTGAAAAAAAGTTAGGTAAAACACATCATGAAACACAACATGGTAATACAAAGTTTTTTATTGTCAGTTTACACGCGATGTTATGTGAGTCTGACAAACATACAGACAATAATGTAGATCTCACTCAAGAATATAGTCTATGATGTAGATCACACTGAAGCATACAGTCAATGATGTAGATCTCACTCAAGTATAGAGTCAATGATGTAGATCACACTGAAGCATACAGTCAATGATGTAGATTACATTGAAGCATACAGTCAATGATGTAGATCAAACTGAAGCATACAATCAATGATGTAGACCACACTCAAGCATACAGTCACAAGGTAGATCAAACTCAAGCATACAGTCACAAGGTAGATCAAACTCAAGCATACAGTCAACGATGTAGATCACACTCAAGCATACAGTCAATAATGTAGACCACACTCAAGCATACAGTCACAAGGTAGATCAAACTCAAGCATACAGTCAACGATGTAGATAACACACAAACATACAGTCAATAATGTAGACCACACTCAAGCATACAGTCACAAGGTAGATCAAACTCAAGCATACAGTCACAAGGTAGATCAAACTCAAGCATACAGTCAACGATTTAGATCAAACTCAAGCACACAGTCACAAAGTAGATCACACTCAAGCATACAGTCAATAATGTAGACCACACTCAAGCATACAGTCACAAGGTAGATCAAACTCAAGCATACAGTCAACGATGTAGATAACACACAAACATACATTCAATGATGTAGATCACACTCAAAATGTGTCACGTCTTTGTTTATCAAATCGTTATATCATATACGCTTTTTTCATTTCGTTTTATATATCTTTTAAATCAGTAATGTCGGCTCTATAGCACTTAAAAAACAAATACTAATCTTTTATGGCAAAACTTGATTGATGGACTAACTATGATAGCTTATTAAATAATCATGTTTACAAATTTCATGAAACAAATGTACAAATGTTTGGCCGTAAACTTGATTGAATAAAATGAAAATGGTCAATTGTTTGGTTTATGTATGCGTTTTTCTGTGAATATATAGATGTTTTATTACCGTAAAGGCCTTCGTCAAGTTTGTATATTAACTGTGCAGGTAGTCAACTAAGCTTAAGAAATACTTATGAGTGGTTCCAAATACCACTACGTTTATACATGTTTACTATAAAAAAATTTACGTTGTAGTTTCCAAAATAGGAAAACAATTAAATTATTGGTTTTTAAATATAAAATCAAATGTTTAGAGCTAAGTATACTTGTGATTCAGAAAGTAATTGCAAGGTAGCATTTTTAAATATCGATAGGTTTAGGGGTGGGGGGGGTAGTTTGTGGTAGGCAGCAGAGAAACTTGTTGTATTATAAACAGCACGGTTAGTAGGTTAATTTAACACTTTAGCAGGACTGAAAACCAAAATAGAAAATAAAAATGTACAGAACAAGTATGGAAAATAGAAATCCATGAGCTGTCTTAAAACGTTGAACCGCCGTTTTGGATTTTACGTTCAGAATTTTGGTTTTTGTGGCGACTTCTCTAATAGATGCGACCCTGGTTATTTGAGTTATAGCAACAAAATTTGCCAAGACAAATTTATTGTTCAAAAGTTTGATCAGGCACTCCGTGGAAGTGTGTTTCAGTGGAAATCGAGCAAACAACTGACCAAGGTATGACCTGCGGAGTGTTATGTTATCCTGGTCAAAGGTAGCAGCAATCTCTTTCCCATGTGAAGCGCTGATGCATTTATCAGAAGAACTAGTCAGATGAGAGTCATCTGAACAAGTCCATTTCAAAACTGCCTGCACGACACAATCAGTTCTAAAACACCAATCGTGTTTTAAAATAAATTTTAAATCGTCAAAAGAAAGTTGCATCAAGACGTCTTATTCAGCAATCTTCTGAAAATTATCCACCATAAACTCTTTAGTTTTCTTCAAAACGACGAAAGAATCCAACAGCTTAGCTTCAATAAATATTTGCCAGTAGTTTTGTAAGTTTATCCTCCTTTTCACAAATTTTTCACAATCCGAAATTAAAAAAGTGATTTCTAGTTGAGTAGACGCGTGCCACATTTCAACCATGTTTTCTTCAGTTAAAACATGCTTCCCTTTATAAAAAACATCCAGTATAAGACCAAATATTTCTGGCGTTATTCCATGTATGGTACAACTTGATTCTGATTTTGATCTCTTATCTGTTCTCAGGAGAGCCTCAAAGAAACTAGAGCAGGAATTTAAGACAAACTTGTGACAGTTGAACTT